AACAACATCGTTCATACTAAAACTATCAGTATAGGCCTATTCAATAGAGCACTGTGCACAAAACATCATCTTATGTTGTGTATTATTTAAATGTGTATACAGGGCATGATTTAATTTTCTTTGGTGACTCGCCCACTGGGCAAGTTTACTGTATATTTCACTAGCAAATTCGCTATTTTACTAGCCTAATCACTGGCTACTTTTTACAAAGTACTTAACATATGTTCTTGGCCAAGCATACTACAGTATACCTGAAGCAATAGTTATAACTGATCACTGGTACACCTGGCTAGTAATAAGGTAGTTTTACTAGCCCAGAGGAGTTTTTACTAGACATTGTATGACGGACTAGTACTAAATCGAGGCCTGTGTATATTCATATCATCATTATTAAATATTTAAAAACTGCATTAAAGTCACTATATTTATTAAAGGCCAAATTTTTAGTTCAGTTGGGTCTGCCATGTGGTACATTTTGAATGTCCTACTGGTCCTACTAACACAATCAGTATTCAGTATGGAGCATATTGAATACTGATTGTGTTAGTATTCAATATGGAGCATAGGTATACACATCTTTACTAAAATTACTTTTTTTTAAAAGCAGTCCTTACAGGGGAAAATTTTAGCAAAACTGGCTATGGGTGTCAAAGAGCCTGTTTCCACTGACAAGAAAGAACCGTTTTTTTGTGGCAGTAGAAACATGGCCACAAAAAATAACCATTCTTTTAACTATTCTTTTGGCACGGAATCAATACTGTGCCGAGAACACCACAGAACCGTTTTTCGTAAAAGAACCATTCTTCGTGTGGTAGTCTGATTTGACCTACTGTATGTTATAAACTTTGTCTAGTACTAGTAGACTTTTTGAAAATGACAGAATTGAGAATTAATTTTTATCAGACGTCTCATGTAATTTCCTCTTACATAATTTTACTATTGGACGTATTCAATATTAATTTCTTCAGTGATGATAAAAAATGTCAGTGTTCTACCAGTCCAGTGATGACGATAATTAATCATTTATTATTAGAAAAAATTAGTAAAACAAATTTTCTATTCTCAACACAAAAAAGTATTCGCTTCTGTTAAGTTAGAACAAAGTTCCAACTTTGTTTTATTTGAATACCGACATTAGCTTTTATTTGGATGGGAGAAATCACCAAATTTTGTTTGTTTGTATCTCGGTAGTCAGGCGAAAATATAAATTTGTTAAAGCTTTTATTTTTAAAGTAATGTAATATTAAATTGCATTCTGGGTAATTTTCATGTCTTATTCACCTTGGATGTAGAGTCAAAAATTTGTTAATCCGATAATCTACAAATGATAAGTGAACCGTTTCTATCTCGATTTTCAGTTGAAATTAAGAAATAATAAATTAAATGGTTTAGTGGATGTACAGTTATTATTCTTATTAAATGATTGTTTTGAAAACCAGGTTCATCAATTCCTGTACTTGAAAGCAACTTTCTATATATTACTAACACCACCACTAACATTTAATATACACAAAACACCATCTTTATGATGTGCTTGGCTAGTTTTTAGCCTTATAACTAAATTTATTAAAGAAGAAATAGCAGAACAGCACTATTTATTTTATAGTGGTCTTTATAATTAGAGGGAATATTTTCGAGCGGGGCCCCCAAAACCATGGTCTTGGGTCTCTAAATTGAGAGTCTTCAATTGGAGGAACAGCTTATGGACCACAGCAAAGTGGTCTTTAATTGGGGTTTTTAATTGGAGGGAGATCTGTAATTACAATTTATTTATATTCTTTACATAATAAATACAAAAAGAATCCTGTTACAAATTTTTTTCTGGTCAGGTTCGATCTTTGTAAAAAAAATATATAACCGACTCTAGACTCTTTGGATCAATCAAAGTTACGCTATAAAATGATTTTTTTTTTTGGCAGTATACAGTGGCATATACTGATTACGTAGCTAAGACCCCGACAAGAAGGAGGTCATTAGAAACATTCACTTAATTTTCTTGTCAGGAAATTAAAGCCTTTACATATTTGTCAGCATTCACTGTGTATTAATAATGCATTTGAGTACTGTTCCACTTCCTACCGTAGTACTCAGGCGGGAAGGAAAACAGACTTATCTGTAGACAGGAACAGTTCATTTCTTAAATAAGTATAATTCCTTAAATCCCGGGTATCCAACCTTTTTAAGCTGGTGGCCAGTTCCATCCTGTTGAGACCAGCAGCAGGCTGACATAAAAATAAATTGCGTACTTCCAATTTTCTTCAGTGTCACCACCCATTTTCTTTTATAACAGTGGATAAATTTTACGATTATGGCATCTCTAGATGGCCGGAAATGGCACTTTCAGACTTAAATTTGAATATAATTTTCTTTTTTCTCCCATTTTTTAATGATTTTTTTAAATTTTGAGGTGGGAAAATGCCTGTGCCCCCTTTAATCTGCCACTGTATAGGCCTACCTTTACAAGTCTTGGAAGTAGGCCTACCTGTATTATTAGCCTTGGTGTTTCAGCATCAACTATGATAAGCCTTGTTTTGTAAAAATGAATGCAGTACAGTAACATTAGGAAGGGTGGGAGATAAAAGAAAAAAAACGTGCACCACAGGTTTTTCTACCCTACCACTAGAAATTTTTCCGAGCTCAAATAAATCTACTCATGCAGTTGGCCTATGGGTCAGAGGTTAGTGGGCCCTAAAAGCTCTGTCCATACTGACACATACAGAGTTTGCCATACCAAACCAGCATCAATGACCAAAACAAGAAAATACATATTGATTCTGTTAACTTTTCGGTGTAACTTCACCTATTTCCTCTTAAACCACTGGCAGGAATGTGCTCATTTTCCATACACTGGGGTTTCTATATGTCACAAACACAGTAAGCTACTTTTCTAGGCTGGCTATTGGATGACAATGAAAAAAAAACAGCCAAAAACCATCCAAATGTCAAATAAACAGTTGCATCACCTTGGGCTATGTTTCGCAACTTCATTACGTCAAAAAGAAACTAACCCTCTCTTAGGTTCTGTACCGCAGTGCTTCACGTCAACATATATCGTACCAGGCTGCGAAATAAATATTTGGAAATAAATGAAACTGAAACTGTAAATGGGATGTTATAGAAATCAATCAGGCAGAAATAAAGATATGCCTGGTCACAAGGCATGATGTATTGTAAGGCCTAATAATTTTGCCTAGACCAGGGCTAGCCTACTGTAGGCTACAGTAGCTAGGGTCTAGATCCCCTCTCTCGAATCCGGGTCGATTTGGTTTGTGTATATATGGCTATGCTATTATACCAGTAGTGCAAGATAGCGTGACTTAAGTTTAGGGTCAAGCCGCTTTACCAATCAGCACCTCCAATTTACAGTTTAGGGTCAAGCCGCCCCACCAATCAACACCTCCAATTTACTTATTAGCATGGGACAATGTCCACAGGCTATTTTGTTAGTTAAATACTTGATTGGAGAAAATATTTCTCTCATGCCTTACTACGCGTATACTGTATGCTGTATTTTCATGTACAAGAGAGTACTCCAGTGTAGGCCCTATCTATCAATAATTCCTCACAAGGACTATTCTGTGGAATAGAGACACTCAAAACGTTATCTACTGTGTAAAGAGGTCCTTTAGAAAAATAATGACAAGGTAAATATAACATCCACAATGATTGCCTCCTAAACTTCTCATAACATTGAACTATATACATCACCACCTTTACCCACTCATCCAACACCGTGAAAAGCATGGGTGTGCTAGTATTCATTATTCTCAACATTATAAGATTTATAAGGTCATTTACTGGAAACCACATACTCTTGCCAAAGTTATGAGTAAAAGTAACCTATTATTAATTACAGCTTCTCTGTACTAAACTGGCATTAACATAGTGACAGTACACTGGTTTGATGGTAAGCCTCATGTGGTATCATATGTCCATATACCACACAAATTTGTCCCACAAATAGTGATGGTATGGACAGAGTATGCATACTTTATGGATTTGGTGTTTTGTCAAATGATAGGTCAATATTTGATGAGACTTTTTATCTGATTATACAGTACTGTAACTTTATTGCTTATTTCAGTAATATTTGATAAAACAAATTGTGTGTCTTTCCATATCTTTTGGAAATTTGACCATGGAGGTACTATTATAGTCAATGACAATGTTTGAATATACCTTGACAGTAATAGAATAATAATACCTGCATGATCAAAGAAAGTATGATCGGCTTAAAGGTTTGAATATATTTAAATAATATCTATTGTAGGCATTACCGTATTAAATCCTTACCAAGGTCATCCCAACCCTTTCTGTGTCGTTGCTTGAAACCTTCTTATGCAGGTTATCGTAAAGGCTACCAAAAAGAGCTTTAATTTTTTTAAAACCAGACTACAGTCTTGTGCAAGTTTTATTTTTTAATTTACAGTAAATCACATTTTTTGTTCTGATATTTTTATTGGTTCTGGTATAGAGACCTTGTTTGCTTGTTCCATCCTATTACAGTACTATTTTTGTTATTTCAGATCATAATTGTATTTTATATTCTTGTAAAATAGATGAAAAACCTGAAAACTTAAAATACTTTATAACTAAATTACTTTTTTGATCATTAAAATGATGTACTGTAAAAATCTCACAAACATTGTTTATTTGATAGCTAATGTAATACTGTATCATCATGCCTTTTCCTTGCCCCTGGCAAGTTTGTACTTTAACATTGCTGAATAATAGTAATTATTATTATTAGGCCTATTATTATTTATTATTATTAGGCCTATTATTATTATTATTATTATTTGAAAATCAAAAATTATGTACTGTAATGATTTTGTATGTCATTGTGAAATATATAGATTTGATTTGTATCCATTGCTGTCTAGTTATAGTACGTACCTTCAATTTAAATGACATTATGTTATTATTATGATAGATTTAATCTTGAATCATTTATTATTAATTTTATCATCATTAACCTACAGATTTATGTTTTTATGTAGGAAAGTGACATAATGGCAACAGAACTGAATGATGAATCTCAAACCAATGAGGCAACAGCTGCTGCAACTTCACCTGAATCATCTGTGACAAAAGAATCCAAGTAAGTGGTGTTTTGTTTTGAATATAGAGCCTTACATACTGTAAGATATTTCCCAAATCACACTCAGTGTTATTAATCTTGGTAATGCTGGTCATTAATGCATATCTGTACCTGTAGATTGAAAGCATGCACAAAGTGCAACCTCCTCCACTCACTGTGGAGTATACCTACTCATGCTGCACATCATGACGTACATTCTGTACAGTAGCCCAGTTGTACTCTAGGATGACAATACTTAGGTAAGGTGCCTTGCACAGACAAAACTGATTTGAACCCCGACCTCAAAAGGGTGAGAGCTTGAGCCGGCTTGAATTGCAACTGCTGCTGCAACTACTCCTACCAGTTAAAAAAATAATAATACAGATTGATTTATGATAATATTAACTGAAAATTAGTAATACAGTACATTTATAATAAAGCAAATTCTTATGAGTCATTTGTAATAATAAAAATATTGATATTTAAATATAATTATAATAAATTATTAGTAAATATAAATGACAGGTATGATAATGTTAATAATAATAATCATTATATTTATTGCAAATGTGCTAACATAATATACATGAGGGCCAAAAAACTAAAAAAGTATACATTACTATGAAGTATTGCTACAGCAAATCCTTTGAGCCCTGGTTTTCCATCTAGGATCTGACCACAGTGCTTATCTCTACATTTTGTATTAATGAAGTATGTTTGTGAGATACGTGTACCTCTTTACAAATCCTTCGTAAATTAATTTATTTACATACTTATCAGGTCTGATGCAGATAATCAGGTTCCATCTACTGCTGTTAATTCCTCACAAGTCCAGATAGAGACTTTAAAAGTTTACAAACCAGGTACGAAAACTTGTCCATTTTGTTTTTAACATTCTTTTTTTGCAGAAAATAAGATATTCTATTTTTTATATTATTTTCATGTGAATTGGAATGCAACAGAATTTATCTTTCCTAATGTTGTTTGAAGGTGAACTGTTTTACTGCGAGATATTGAGTATGACGGCTGCTTTTGTTAATAGTTAATTGTACATGACCTTATCATTTAATGTAACTCCGATAGGAATTGAAAAAAAAGTGGGGCATTGGGTCAGTAATTGATCCTATGATCCTGAATCATGACTTTACTATGTCTAGACAAATTTTTATGCATAATTGTCTAACAATTTTATCTTTGCATTGCACTTACATTACTTTGCATATTAGTAAGCAACTTTTTGTTTAATTACAAACTCATCTATTTTATGAATATTTACCTGGATAAAAAAAATAATTGAATTGTTCTTACAGTCTCTTCCAAGGCACCACCTTCATAAACCCGATTCCATATCAAATTATATTATGGACCAAAATTTCGACCCTAGTGAAAATAGTGACTAATATGTGGGCCCAGAAATTATCACCGTCCCTCTCTAGGAATCATTTCCATGGTCATTTTTTATTCTCAAGAAATAACATTGAACCATATATCCATTAAATGCTAAAACTTAAAGTGATGAAAATAGAAGGTGTTGAAAGCTTGAATTGTTTTGTGAAAATTTGCTCAATAATCAACACTTTGTTTATTTACCATATTATTTGTCAATTGATATTGTATTTATGGCTCCAGCCTTCATCAATACTACATATTTATTAATTCCCTAGACCACCCCACCCAGTGACAGTACCCTTGCACGGTGATCTAAGGTTAGGCAGTGTAGGAGGAACAAAGGCCCAGGGCTATTAAATAGCCAGCAGGCCCCTCAATACTTCAGGTTTTAGAGGGGTAATTATTGATTACATGATTCATTTCAATTGTAAATGTTTATGTTCCTCCAATTTTCTTGATTATTTTTTGAACTATAAAGGGTTACAAAGCTTCAAGTTATGACTAGTATTACTCACTAGCCTATGCAAATATGGGTGGTGGGTGGGAGGGAACGTAAGAGTTTTTTGAAAACATCAATTACTACCTAGTTCTAAAATTTTCGTTCTTTAAATTTCAAAATATGCCTTGTGAGAATTTAAAACATCTGAGATTCCAGAGCTTCTCCTACAGTACCCTGGGCTGCAGGGGTCCTAGAACCCTGGGCAATTGGAGACTCCTGGGCCTCCCAGCCATAACTCATGCCTACAGTCACATCAAAGGGCCTGTCAGGTATTGTTGCACTGGGGCCTATTCTCGTATAACTACGCCACTACCTTTGCATCACTGTGACTTACGAAGACCCCCATTCCATGGAAGTAACAGGGACTCGTGCTCCTGATGTTAGTGATACAAAACGATCTCATCAGGAGCTGTTTTCATATCTGTAACAGGAGAGCTTGCACCTGCCGAATCAATTTATACTCACAATGCAAATGCTGCGGTTAAACTGCGTATGGGGACATCTGGAACAGCAGCCTATCCACCTGAAACGCTACCCACGCTGTTTGCAAGAATTGCCAAGAACTACAGCAATGCGAAAGCACTTGCAGATAAACGCAACGGTGAATGGAAATTTTGGACCTACGAACAATACTATAGAGATTGCAAGATAGCTGCCAAATCTTTTTTGAAGGTTGGTAGTAAGATATGTTTTTAAATGTCCTTTATATTTTTTTAATTAACTTTTTGTAATTTTGAATCATTTTTCAAAAAGTTATTGGAATAAAATTGAATTCTGAATTGGATTTAATAGTAAATTATTTTTCAAGAAGGAAACAAACTCACAAACTGGGTAATTATCCAACACATACTGGTTTTATCTTTAATTTCTTCACAATACTTTATTTAGGCTACATTCTATTTGCAAGCATACAGTCCATTCTTTTATGAATTAAGTGACTTGAGCCATTTCATGTAAATGTTTCTTTGTCTTGTAGCATCAAATATTTACTGTACTTTAATACCTCTCTATTGTTCAGTGACCTAAATATGAAAGTACTATAAATTTGCATTACAGTACTATAAAGTGAACATTTGGTCAATAGTGCAGCACACTGGATTTAAATATAGAACAGATATCTCAGTGACATCAACACTTAAAAAACTAGATGTAGGGCAACTTGTCACACTAAATATATTAAGATATGCCCTACTATTCTGAATAACTGCTAGCTGACGTATGCTTGGTACATTAATACCAGTGCACTTCGCTGTTCCAGAGTGATTAGATCCGCAGGTTGCAGATACCTGTATTATTTTTTTAATTTCCAACTGTAATACACCATAGTTCCTCTAGTATAAGCCCATCCCCCTTGAACACAAATATTAGGCCAATTTTTGGCGGTGGGATTATACCCGGGGAATCCACTAACTAAAATTTTTAGGACTGTATGCCTAATTCAAGCCAATGTAATAGTCATGCTCTGGGCTTTTTGCTCGAGGAACATAATTTAGCAGAAAATAGGGTGTCGGCTTATATGACTTCTTTTTTCTTCTAACTTTTGCAAATGACCACCCTCTGATAAAGAACACAGTCTAGAAAAGTTAATTTAAAAACATCATTCAGCCAATGAGAATGTCCTATTAAAAACTTACACCAACCTATCAAATTTAATAATTGGATATGTTATCTTAATATATCACAAAGGATGATAATATTTGAAAGATTTTTTGTTGTTATGTTACCTGGATAGGGTAGACAGAGCCTAACAGATGTTTGTTGTTATACTTTCATAGCTTGGTTTGGAAAGGTATCATGGAGTTGGTATCATGGGATTCAATGCTCCTGAGTGGTTTATAGCAAGCTTTGGTGCAATGTTTGCTGGGTATGTTGATATTGATTAGCACTGATGACTTTAGACTGTGTCTTTAGACCTGGAATATATATATATATA